TCAGTTGATGATTTCTAATTTATCCTGTTCATAGCTTGTTGGTACATAGTTCTTTAGACTATGAGCTCCTTGAAAGGAGTTCTTTGAGAGGAACTATCTTTTACCTTCCTTTTTATCCTCCTTGATACAAGGTACTTAAAAAATGCTTGTTCATTGATTTTACCAAGACCTGCTTTTAAGGCCTGATGCTGTTAATTTTGTGTCTGTCGTCTTTTCTACTGGGCTTTATTAAAACAATGTCAGAAATTTACCTGGACATTGGAGATGAGTTTGGTGGTGGATTCTGGTTATTACTGGCAAGAATATGGCAGATGCAGTACAAAGAATGTATATTATAGAAACATTTGTTTAGGTCAAGTACAACCTTTTCTCCACCCCTTCATAACCAAACCCGGTTAATCAGGATGTCTGTTCATGTGATAATTCTCCCTTAAACACAGCCATTTAAAAAAGTTAACTAGAAACAATAAGCTACTCAAGAAGGATTTATAAACAATCACTTTTGAAATCCTTAAGAAAGGAAACAGCAGCAAAGCTGACGCACAAACACTTTTTAACATATCAGAGAGTTTTAAAAATAGAACAGCTCTGCCTTATAGATCAAAAATTACCCAAAGATTAAAAATTAAGACATTTTAGTCACTCATCTATAACACATAAAAGTCCAAGTTGTTCTATTGTGTGTGGATATGTAAGACCAAAAAACATTTTATATAAAAATGCCAACTGTCTTTTAAATTTCCCTGGGTTCTCATATACTACTTCTATTCTTGATAAAGGAGGGAAAAAAATGTTCCCTATGCACAGGAAACACCTTTTTTCCTACTTCAGCTTAAAAATTTTTATTTCAATATAATAACAGTTCTGTGTTATTAGCCTTACCTCAAGGTCATCACCTTTTACCAAAAATAGATTACAAAATCAGGCACAGCATCATATGAATGCATTTATTTTTCATTATTAATAAGATTTTTTGTTTGTTTGTTTGCCTTCCACCTTCCTTAATCTTGAACCATATTTTCTTGCATAATTTTCACGAATTGAAGTTACGCAGTATAAAATATATATCTAATTTGGAGGATCTTCCTGAGGTCTATATAGACTATTTTTACCTCTTCATCTTCTACAACAAATGCTGGCAAATAAGCTGCAAATGTTTTCATGGTGGTCTTTTGTGGAAATAATTATCATAGCACTAAAGTATGAGATAATCAAATGTCCCATGATGTGGCAATTCTTGTTGTCTTTGGACATACGATAAAACCAATTCCATCAACGTCTGAGCCATCCTTCCATTTCACTACAACTTCCTTTTGTCTTCTGATTTTGTTTACAGTAAGGATGTCAAGATTGACACAATTCAGTTCCTCCAGTAGTTTGTGCATGAATTGGACAAGATCTCACATTCAGAGTACAATAGCTAAGTTAATATTTACGGTCTAAAAACTGTTGATCCTAGCACTATCTGTCCCCTTTTTTTGCTCTTGCCATTGTCCTCATGATATCAACTGAAATTAAGGTAAACTTATGGAAGGACATGGATAAGAGCTTCCCAGGCTAGGCAGGTGTTGATGTCTTATAATCTATACAACTAGAGGTAATTCACTGATACATGGTAGTAGTGAAAGTCACATATGCCAAAAGTAATATGTAGTATGGTATTAAAAAATCTTACTCATGTTCTAAAAACATGGAAGAAATCCTCAATTGTCCCCTAAAATCCATTACATCAATCCTGCTCTTACATCTACCATACAAGTTCAAGCTCTCATTATCTTATCTGACTAGTTCAATTGCATCATAATTGTTTTTCCCCCTGTGCTCCCTTCTCCTTATTTATCTTTTAACTTAAGTGACAAGTTAATCTTCCTAATGCACAGGTCAGATGTTGCTCTTCTGCTCAAAAAAAACTTTAGTGTAGCTTCTATCTACTTGAGTATGACATTCAAGGGGTTCTACAGTCTGGTGGCATCCTACCTTTCCAATTTTATTTGGCAATATCTCCCTTTATAAACTGCGTTATAACCAAACTGGACTACTTACTGTTCGCCCATCAAATTCTGCCTATCTGCCTACATCCTTTCATCTCTGGCTGGTGAAATCCTTCTCCTTGAAAGATTAGTGCAGTTGTTACCTTCTCTATGAAACCTTAGCTGATTCCTCTAGCTAGAGGTGATCCTTGTCCTCCTTAAGCATCTCATACTATCCTTTTTGAGCGTGAGAAGCAGCATTGTGTAGTGAGAAGAGTGTCAGACTCAGAATTCGAACCCTGCACCAGACAACAACCATGAAACCCTGGGCAAGAAGCTTCATCTTTCAGGACCTCATTTCCCTCATCTGTAAAATGAGAATCATTATTAACAGTTACAATATCTAGCTCATCAAGTTGTCCAAAAAACACTTTAAAAATGCTAAGAGTCTATATAAATGTGAGGTAGCATTATCGTATCTTGTTTTTAAACACTGATGAAATGTTAAGACAAGCTGTTTCTAGGGAAAAATGCAAACTCCTGTTTGTCTGGTATTTAAAGTCCTGCATAATCTGGCTTCAGCCTCTCTTTCCAGGCTAACTACACCTTACTCCCCTTCATACACCAAATGACACCATCTGCTGCTTCCTGCACAAGACATTCCATCTCCTAACTCCATTCCTGTGTCCCAATCAATCAACAAGCATTTAAAACAGACTGATCATGTGCCAGGTGCTGTAGATACAAAGACAAAATGAAACAGTCACTGTTCTACAGCGGAGACAACATGTATAACATATACACATTTAAATACATACACAATAAAAATTTCCTGCTTGAAATGCTCTCTCTCCTTTCAGAAACCTAAATTTAATATTCTCTTTAGCTCAGGTGCCACTCCTCCCCTTCCCCCAACCCTCTCAAATTATTGTGTATTTATTTTTCTATATACTGTACGTTTACTTCTCAGTGAACATGTAGCAGAATGTAAACTCACTGAAGGTAGAGTCTTTCTCTCTCTTTTTAATCTGTATCCCCAATACATGGCATAAAATGTTTGTTGACTGCTTGCTTGAAATAAGAAAAAATATCTTAGGCCCACAAAGTATGGGTTTCAAAAGAAAGAACTTTGTTTACATATTAATAAATGAATTAATTAAATCTTTAGTAGGTTAACTTTTTTATATCTGGTTTGTAATATGTAAATAGTGAAAATCACTTCAGTTAGGCACACACACACATATATATATAAAACCTATAGCAAAATCTTCACACTCCTTATTGAACATACTTATGACATCTTTAAATACTTTATAGAATTACAGATTTTGAGTTAGAAGGGAAAGCAGAAAAAATAAGTCTTCTAGTCCAACCATCTTGTCTTAGACAAATGAAGGAACTCAACTCCAGAGAGATTAAGTAATTTACCCAAGGTTACATAGCTGGTAGTTGGCAAAGTCAGGATCTGAACCCAGGTCATCTGACTCCATTATACAACACTTGGGAATTCAAACTGATCTTAATATTAGTTTATGTGGAGCGTAATTAGTATAACAAATCTACTAAGGGGAAAACAACTTGACACAATATATTCAAAAGCCAAATAAAAACTATGTTTAAAAATTACTCTTTAATTATCTAGGTCATTGCTTCATTATTCATCTTAAAGACACATGAAATTGGTTAATTATGAAACAAAGGATTTTATGGTCCTTGGTAATCATGAAAAATATGACCTCTAAGATCCCTTTCCAGTTCTAAAATCCGGATTCCATTATTTTAACCTATTTATATGCTTTCAGAGAGGACACTTAGATATATATACACCTGTGTATATACAGGTAGGCTATTTTTAAAATGTAACAAAGAAGTAATAGTATCAAATAGGAATGGAGATACAATTTTACTAATGAAAAGTAAATAATGGATCTTTTTACAATATTAACTCAAATGAGTAAAATTTTGTGAAGGAACTCAGAGATCATAAAACTAAAAATTTGGGAAAATTTTGTTCAAAGACATACTACATGTCTCTGTCAACCTAAGAAACAAACACAATTGCAAGAAGTAACAGCGATTAGGGGTAGGAAAAAAACCCCAAAATCTTTATATAAGTATTTGGGGATCTCTGGCTTTATGGGAGAAGTAACAGTCCCATAAAGCTCCTAACCCCATTAATTTAGCTGAGATTCCATTTGATTTCAAAAACTTTAAATTTAGTAGATTTTCAGTTTCTCTACTGAATTCCATCACTTATTTTAATTTGGTTATTATATTAATTTAGTAATATTTATTAATTATGTCAATATTATTATATTTAATTTTGTTATTATTATAGAAAACACTATTAAAAAGTAATGTTACTCATTGTATCTGCAAAATATCAGACTTCATAGTGCAGTGCTCAGAAAACTAAAGACTTCAATTTAATGCACAGGAAACATTAAAAATATAAATTTCTTTCAGAATTTCTAAATTTAAAGAACAAAAATTGAGAAACACTTTTCCCTCAAACAATTATTTGTAACTACCATTGCAATTTTCATAATGAAAATGCTATATACATTAATTCATGTTAAAACACATTAAAACATCATTATTTAATTTTTTATTTTTTAGTACTAACAATGAGGAGAGGACGGAAAAAGAAAAAACAGAACATATATTTGATGGAAATGGATTACATTACTGCATATAGTCTGAGCTATGCCACTTACTGGTTCTGTCAAAGGGGGGAAAGCTACCATCTCCCTAAGCCTCAGCTTCTTAATTTTCAATATATGGATACCATCTACCTAACAGGGTTATTGTGAAGATTAAATAAAAAGTCAAAACATTCTGAAAATCGTGAAACATGACTCTATCTGAAAGGTACAGTTATTAAACAAAGTATAGTTGTATGGAAGGAAAATCATACGTAAACTGGAGCAACAAAAATTTCTGAAAACATGAGATCATGTAATTTCTTATTTTAGGGATGGTGATGTCAAAGAGGAAGACCAAGGCAATTTGCTGTTCTGGGCTACTTACCAGCATACATATGATAGGTGAGTCGCTCTATAAGTTTGATAACGGTTCCTGCTTTGATGATTGGAATTCCAGATTTGGGTTGCATGTTTTCTTCAAATACTATGTTTTCTTCAGAGTCTGGTTCTGCAAATCTATAAAGATCAGAACTTGGAAGCCTCATCTGCTCCTCCTTCTCCTCCTGTAACATCGTAACGTCCAGCATCCTTTCCAATGTACTGCGGTATTGTAACGATATCAGTGCTGCCATCCAGTTGTTTTTCTCCTCAGCTGACTTAGCAGAAAATATAACACTATTTTCATCTTTTAAGATGATTTCAAAGGCATGTTTGTATTCATTAGTGTCATCTTTATCATTGATTTGTACCTTGCGCATAAAAAACTTCTCTTTGAGACGATACTCAGCATTGCTAGCACCAGGAAGTCTTGGCTGACCATGATTTGATTTACAACAAATCATCAGGCCATCAAAGAGAAATATGTGTCTCTCATGTTTGGCACCTACACGTGTGAGAGTTCCTTCCATGATAAACTCATTGCAACACTGTCCAATGTCTTTTCCTTCCCAGCCATCAATGTTCTTCTGAATCTCATTCATTTTCTTTATTGCTAGTTGTTTCCCCTTCATCTGTTGGCTATAAAATCTACATGCAGATTCGCTGGGAAAAAGGAAAGCATCATTAGTACATAAAGAAACATAACCCATGGGACATATTTAAAAACAGGGACCCAGCAAGTGAATCTTAAAATATATTTTGAAAACTTATATTGATAAGGAGTCCCCATGAATTAAGCTTACAGGTATTTATCTGTTCCCCAAAATTGGTTAGTACTCAGAATTATTAAGGTTTACAAGTAAGACAACACAACAAAGGAAATTACTAGTTTCTTTCAATACAGTGATCTATTTTAGAATAATTATTTCAATCTTAGGTGTTAAATAAGTAACTAATAATTCTTTGATTAGTATCTGACAATACATACAGCATAGATATCTGCAGAAATATAACATATCTTTAAGAAATGTGAAAAAACAGTAAATTGATTCTGGATTTTGAGTGCTAAAAGTTATTTTTAAAAAGATGCTATGCATTTTACTTTGACAAAACAATGAAACATTGAAAAAATTCTACCTACAAGGAAAGCTCTGCCTGTCCTTGCGCTCACCAGTTAGCTCTCAGGAGTCCTGACTGGGAGCACACAGGGAAAACACACAAATATGAAAGCTTTTTCAAACAATAACATATTCTCTTGGCTTTGATGTCACTTCCTCTCAAAGACTAAACTTGTCACTAGAACTATTTTCCTTATTGTTTACTTGAGGAGGAAACTTGGAACTCTGAATTTATAGCACAGTACTCAGGGTGGAAAGCAGGAAAAAAAAATGGAAACGTTTACCTCAGTCTCCGTTTTGCAAGACTCTTGGAACATATTCTTTCCATACTGCTCTGAAGGTTAAGCAAAGCCGTTATTGCTTGTTTCAAGCATTCTTTGTCTTCTTGGTCTTCACTCTTTTCTTCTAACTGCTGCAAAGTTAAAAAAAACAACAAATCTGAACCAGGAGAATAATTGTAGACAAAACAACAATTTATTATCTTCAAGGATGAAGACGACATGCATTCTCTATTTTTCCTTAGCATAATAAGACCAAAAAGTTTTTTTTTAATTTTAACCGTGTGAGCTAAAGAGCAATCATTTTTTAAAAGTAACTTTGTCAGAAGAAAGAAAGGGAAGTATATGAGAGATGTTATGGAAGTGGAAATGACAGAACTCAGCAACTGATAGGATATTGAGGGTGAGAAAGATTGAGAAACAACTTTTTAAAAATGATTCCACAATGGTTCTCCTACCTTTTCATTCTTCTTATACCTTACTCCTTTCCATGTACTCTATGATCCAATATCACTGGCCTCCTTGCTATTCCTCTCACATGACACTCCATCTCCTGAATGTGAGAGTGTTTCACTGGCTGTTCCCTGAGCCTGGGATGGTCTCCCTCCATATCTCTGCTTCCTAACTTCCTTCAAGTCTCAGCCAAAGTCCTACGTTCTGCAAGAAGTCTTCCTTCTAAGACCACCTTCATTTAATCTAAATTGTATGTTATCTTGTTTGTACACATTTATTTGCATGATTTATTCCTCATTAGATGGTAAGCTCCTTGAGAGAAGGTATCACTTTTTGCCTGTTTTTGTATCCCCAGCATTTAGCGCAGTGCCTGACACATATTAGGTACTTAATAAATATTAGTTGACAATTTATCACAATAATCTGCAAAGGTAAATTTTTTTCTTACTATAATATATACAATATTGAAATGCCCCAGATGGTATCTATAAAATTAATGGTCAAATAGAAAAAAAAAAGAACCTATTAGTTATATTTCAATATTCTAACATAATGGTCTACAACTTTCAGTTATACAAATATGTGTGTGTATATGCACATGTATGTCTTTTATATTCACTAACAAAATCAGCATTTTCCAAACAAGACTATATACTTCCAAGCCCTGCTGAGAGGTTTAATCCATTTGATTTCAACAGATTGTTTGCTTTGACAATAATAAAGAAACTGTTTTCATATATCTACCCAGTATTCATGGGGAAGGGATACCCTATGATGATACTGTCAGCTAGCATATAGGCAAGTTACTTCTCAACATACAACTTTCCACCAAAAAAGAAAAAAGTAAAGAGGAAAAACTATAGTACATGCATTGCAGAAAGTCAATTAAATATGTTTTACTCATTTAGATGTTTTTCACTGCTCCATCCAAGTTAAGGAAAGCCTGATATCAAAATATATTCAAGATGTGTTTTCTCTTACTTTAGCAACTCTATAGGAGGGTTGATTGAAGAGCTGACACTTGAAATAGACTAATTTCTAATCCTATCATTCTGTGCTCTTCATTCCTTTCATGAGGGGGTGTTGCGGGGGGAATTAAGAATTTTGGGAGATGAACAAAGCTTTACTTACTACCTCATCAAATTGTCAAAGACAACATAAGAACCAGCAATGAAATGAATCTAAAACAAAGCACAAAGTTCTGAACATCACAATGCATCAATGGAAAAAAATAATCATTTCAAAATTTAATTGTTCAGAAATAAAACTGAATTATAGCCAAGTCTACCAGAGCACAGGTGTTCAATTTCAAAGTGAGAATGACAATGAAGAACAATATGAGAAAATATTTTATTCTTGTTTTTTATTTTGCTTATTAAAAAAAGTTAAAACTGTTAAGCATTGTAAGATTCATAGAAAAATAATAAAAATCTCATCATATCCTATCATGATAAAAAAGAGAACAATCAAGGACATTCAAACAGTTTCATCTACTAATCTTAAAAGAAGAACTCAAAGTGTATGAGAAATGTAGCTACCTTTTAACATATAATTCACTAAATTATGTAAAGCAATCTATTTCTAAAAATGTTAAAACCTTAAAAACCCTTAATACCAAAATCTAATAAAAATCCACAAAAGAATGGTGATTAAATTGTATAAAATGACATTTTTACCTTCATAGCATTAGGCAAGCTTCTAAAAACAAATTTCAAACTAACAAGTTATCACTTCTAGTAGCAACACAGGTGTCTTTGTTCTCTCCCTTCTTTTACTTAACACAGATGGCCTAACCTGGATATGAGTACAGGTTAATGATTCAAGATAGCAATCACCAAAAGGCTAGCAGTTGTTGCTAAGGAAACAACCTGTGGCAACTAACAGGTAAATGAGACCTCAACAAATATGCATCCTCTCTTGTTACCACAGCGATATTTAACACTCTGTTTTCATAAGTACTGTTTAATAACCTTGTTCAACAAACAGTAATACTGCAATTAAACAAATGCAGTATATTAAAAAAGATTTAAAAAATAACCAAGCAGCCTGATATTTCTATGTCAGAGATCAAATTGAAATTGCCTATGGAATTATATTCTAAAGCTCAATGGAAATCCAAGTGCTTTGTGGAGATGACAAATATTTTTTAACAGTTAAGGGAGCCACTTTTAACCCACCTCTGCAACTAAAAAGTAGTAATGGAAATATTTAAGAAAATAGTGCTCTGTTTGATAAAAGTAAGTAATGAGAAAGGGCCAGCTAAGACCATATTTAAATAGTTGTTAAAAAAAATAAATAAAAGGATACTTGCAATTGTTAGAGAAAAGTCACTGAATTGTTTATACCTATTGACCTAATAATGTCATTATAGATAAATATACCGAGGTGACAAGAGGGAAGAAATGTATGACATAAACCATATATACACCACATTAAACAAAGCAGTACTTGTTGGAGTAATTAAAAATAAGAAAAAAAATTGGGTTTCCATCTATAGGGCTCAATAAACTATAATAAAGAAATGTAATGGAATTTTATTTAGCTATAAAAATTAAGAAATGAGAAAAACATGCAAGTTGATACTGCTTAGCACAGTAGGTACAAAACCTTACTCAAGTAACAGACTCTCTGAAAATTAGAATGGATCCAAACAAAAGCTGAATGCTCCATGAGACAAAAAGAAATATTAAAAGAGAAGAAATTAAAATAAAAGAAAATATAAGGTATCTCATACAAAAAAAACTGACCTAGAAAATAAAAGAAAGCTAATTTAAGAATCATTGGGCAATCTGAAAACTATGACAAAAAAATGGACAGCATATTTCAACACATTATGAAAGAAAATGATATCATTTTCACAAAATAACGAAAGAATCATAATATCATCAGGGGACATATTAGAACAAGAGGGCAAAGATCACCTCCTGAAATAAAGCCCCAAATGAAAACTCCCAGGAAAATGATAACCAAAATCCAGATTTTCTGGGTCAAAGGAAAAATATTATAACCACTTAGATAAAAAGAGCTCAAGTATCAAGAAACTAGTTAGGCTTATGCAAGATATAGCAACTACTGCTTTAAAAGAATAGAATATGATATACCAGAAGACAAACTATATAGGCTTAGATGCAAGAATAACTTACTTCTCCAAATTAAGTATATAATCCTACAGGGGAAAAAATGGACCTTTAATGAAATAGAGAACTTCTAAGCATCCCTAATAAAAAGACCATAACAGAGGAGAAACTCTGAAATATAGATATAGAAGTAAAGAAAAGCAATAAGAAGCTAAATACAAGTGAGCAATCAAAAATATTTCATAAGGAAGTTTGTACTCTAATGGGAAGGGCAGGGAGAATATGATACATGTCCCCTAAGAACTATAATATCTTAAGGGATCATAGAGAAACTCAAATAAGACAGAAGGCCTGAGAGTGATTTTTGTTATGTTTTGATGATGGCCAAAGAAGAAAAGAAAGTGAGAGGGGGAAAAGGATATATAAAGGAATATTATAGTGAAGAAATAGTATGGGAGGAAACTTATTTGACAGAACTGGAGAATGCAAGTAGAAGTCGTGGCAAAAGAAAAAAGGTATGGGGATAACAGGTGTCACTTGAACCTCATTTACATCTGATTTGGCTAAAGAAGAGCAGAACACACACACACACACACACACACACACACACACACGCTGTCATGGAGAATATAATCAATTCAACAGGGAAACAGGGACAAACAGTGAGAGGGGATGGGGAGAATAACAAGGAGAGTAGATATAGGGCAGAATTAGTCATAAGCAAAACAAACTATAAATTCAGAGGAGAGATAATGAAGAGGAGTTTAAAGCAAGAAAGAAACAATAAGAAGAGGTGAATAAAAGCTGTTAATATCAAGCATAGAAATACGGGTGTTGAGACCTTCTTCTCTTATATAAAAAGGGGGCTGGACACAAAGAGAGGAAAAAGCATAAGAGAACAGGATGAGGGGAAACATACATGTAACAATCAAAATTGCAAATTTACCCAAAAAAATGGAGAAAAAAGCAGAATGGATTAAAAAGCTGAGTCCAACAACATGTTGTTTACAAGAAGCAAACTTGAAACAAACATTCACAAGAATTAAAAGAAGAGCTAGAGAATAATCTGATATACTTTAGCTGAATTCATCAAAGTAGGGGTAGCCATGATGGTCTCAGATAAGGCAACAGCAAAATAGATTTGTTTAAAATAGAGATGAACAGGGAAATCAAATTTGGATGAAATCACCACATACAATAAATTAATCTCAATATATATCCCCCAAAAGGCAGAGCATCTAAATACTTAAAGGAAAAGAGAAATGAATTAAAGAGAGAAATAGAGTGTAAAACTATAATAGCAAACAAATGAAACCAAAAAATAAAAACAGAAAAAAAGTTAAGGCCTCAGATAGAACTTTAGAAAAATTAGATAAGATACATCTCTGGTGATTATTAATGGAAATAGAAAAAAGTATATATAATCTGAATTGTTTATTATAACTTTACAAAAATGTGTATTAGGATATAATCAAATATGGAAAAGATATCAATAAAAATTATTTTTTAAAAAATCTCAAAACAAATACAGAAAAACAGAAATATTGGACACATCCTTTCCTGACCATGATGAAATTTTAAAAGATTATATTCAATAAAAATCT